CAAAAATTAAATTAATATTAAATACGATTGGTATTTTAAAAAAACTTATTTTCTGAATTTCTCAATAGTTTGTTAAGAGTAAAATGTCAAAAAACTATTACAAGAATTTGTAAGTCCATTTTAATAAAATCAAGTTCTATTTGACCATGAGTCAGAAAATTATTATTTTAATTTTATTCAATTTTCTCTGAACACTATTATTTTAATAAATTTCATATGTTACTGTCTAGAATGAAGGGAAAGAAAAGTATAAATGTTTTATATTTATGATGCACTTAAATGTGTAATTTTAATTTCTCAAATTTTAATCAAAATTAACTTAACCATTAATGCATTAATTAATTAATGACTTTACAGAATTACGCTGAAATAGTTGAAAAATAATAAGCTCTATTCTAAATCGTTTTTTGGTTGCAATAATATAAATTATTGTTTTAAAATTTAATCGCACCCTCTTTACATCTAAAACTTTTCAATATTTTACACCTCACTAATATTTCTTTATTTCGACACTTTTAAGTTTTAACCATTAATATTGTTAGTAATATGTATCTGCTATTAAGTACGAGTATGAGCCAATAAATCTAATAAAATTAGATCTATTGATTATATAATAAACATTCGTCAGTGATAAATGTTCAGAAATCGTATGGTTTATGTTGAAAACAATTTATGAGTTTAAAATTACAATCTGTAAATTTCAAATACTAATATGTACTTTAGGACGTTTATAGATTTTTGTACGTGTATAGATTTAATGTCTATATTATTCATTTGAATTTCATAAATTTATCCATACAACTAGGTATGATTTATTTATACATTAATTGCTTCTATTTATTTATAAACTGTTTCTTAAAAAATAAAAAGGTTGTTAAAATATAGAGCGATTGTCTCATGTCTTAATACGCATCCCTTGCATTCTTTACAAATTATCAAACGATTTTTTATAAAAGAAAATAATAATTAATGTGAAGTTATATTTTTAATTTTTATAAATTATTTTTAAATATACTTCAATTATTCATTTTTATTATATACGATTTTTCCAAATCGTTGTTTATGTAGGTATTACTAAGTAATTTATTCTTTATTATCTTATAGGTTTAATTTTTTTTTTTTTTTGTAACTACTTATGTTGATGATGCTATACTATACTATTCATGATATATGAAAAAAAAATTAAAAAAACAGGATTATGAAAATGTTTTTATGTGGCCTCATAAAATTTTAAAATTTCCTATTTGAGATACTTCTCACCAGCAAAAACAACCCCAAATTTTACATTTTTTATTTGTATTTATTTGTATATTCTTGAAGCACCTCCGCCTATGAGGTATACAATAAAGAACGTTTTAACTATTCCCGGATATCTAATATAATAGACTAGCACTACAAATGAATCAAGTATTCAAACTAATTTAAAAACAATTTTAACCTTAATTCTTAGATAGGTAAATAGCATACACATTAATATTTTTTAATATGTGAAAAATTTGAGTGTATTCGAACTTAAAAATATTTTTTAGGTATAAATGTAAAATATCCTATATCTTGAATAGCCTAAAATATTTTGCATCAACATTGAAAAAATATTATTCCTTGTAACAACGGGATTGTAATATCATATTGTGATCTGTTGTGATGAAAATTATGATCCTTGACATAAACTAAACGGCTTAAACTATACGACACGCGGCAATCAGGCGTTGTCCTAGTCTAATGTATTTAATGAAAGGTATTCAAAACATTCATTGAATGGGCACGATGAACGAGCCGAGCGACTAGTCACTTGTTAGCAGCATAATATGTATATTATACATTTAATGAACGACATTACATTTGAAACAGCAGAGCACGTGTGAATCTAAAAGATTATTTTTCAGAAATAAATTGTGTGTACTACCTCCTTCGTAGGCGCAACTAGAGCTCACATTTTGAGATGGTTATATATATATATTTGTTACGGTAAAAGATGAATATTGGTGAATGCCGTCATTCTCCGGTGAATGACGTCTTTTACCAAAATGATTCAATTATGTAGGTAAATGATGTAAAAAACAAGATTTTAAATTCAAATGTACATCTTTCACCGGTCATTGATGTCATTTACCAAAACTAGTGGTAAATGATGATAAATCTCAAATAATACACTGGTTTTTTTACTATAGGTACTATTTATAATAATGATTTATTGTTAAAATAAAAAAATAATAAAATACGTGCATATTACAAATTATTTATTTGTACAATTTTGGTTACTATGACATTTTGAACTGCACAACATTTCCGCTGCATTGCAAGCACAATTTTTAGTACCACAACCAGTTTTTCAGTTGCATCGATTAAATCCTTGATGACCAGCTATTCCATGTCCTGCTGCTTCTCTTAATGTTATTTCCCTGTCTTTAATTTTTTTGATGGCTTCATCTAGCTCTAGAAATTTTTCTTCACATGGAGAAATTTGTGCTCGTGTATATTTGTGTTTCAACATCCCATATTCTGTACCTGATTCAAACATTCGGGTATATTTTATTTAAATTAAATAAACATTATCAAATTAAAATTGGCTTACATAATTTATACATGTCATCTTCGTATGAAATAATAACAGCAAGTAAATTACGCGGAGAACCTCATGCTCTATCAACATCTGGTATTGGGACACGAACAGTTGTACCGACATGTCGCGACATCAAGCTTTGAAAATTTTTTTAGGCTTTAAATTTATTCTGCATACTTAAATACTAAAACTGAATCTAATTTTTATTATATTTTGTTCACTGGTGACACAAATTTTTACAAATAATATTATAAAACACACATTCGTAGCAAATACAACTCGCTATAATATACCCGTCGATACTAACTAATAAACTAAAAGATTATCTCATATTATTACTCGGGTTATCGACGTTATTTCTAGTTGAGATTTTCGTTTATCTATCTACTTCCATCATGATATTTTTAACTAATGAAGCTGATCGTTCACACCGACATAAAAGTATTAAACATCATTCTCCAATTAAACTGGTGATTGACGACAATAACCGGAGAATGTCTGCATTTACAATGTTTACCAATTTTTAGGTAAATTATGTCTTTTACCGGGGAATGACGTCTTTTACCACGTTTACATCATTCACCGTAACATATATATATATATATATATATATATATATATTCGTATGGTATGGTATTTCTTTTTTAATAGTATAATACCTTATATAAGAAATAATTATTTTTGTTTTACTTAAATTTTTAGTTGTCATAAAGAAATATTAATAAACAGTACTTAACTAATAAAACAGTAAATAACTTGACATTTTCCATTATTATACAATATATATATATGGAGGGTTATATGTACCAAGATAACACGGATCCGCACAGGCTATACCCCCGTACACCAATCTACTAGTTTGCATACAGACAAAACGTATCACTACGCACTACTATATAGTTCCAGTTCAAATAAATTTAAGTCATCGTAATTGCCCCCACAAAATTTACACAAAATTCACATTAATAATACATGTAGACAAATTCAACTCTACGATTTAAATTTTATATTGTTACAAGTTATCTGTATTTAGTACAGAACACTTTAAAATATATCTTTATTATTTGACGACTTTATTACATCCGTCTCGATATTGAGAACAGCCAAATTTGTAAAACAATCTTCTAGCGTACTGCTACGTAACCAATTTTCGATACGCCTCATAGAAGAAGACAATCATTCACGAGTGGCTGAGCTTATAGGAATACTTATTGCCACTTATAACATCTTATAATTATTGAGATAAACATGTTTTTCAATTACTTTCCTAATACCGTTTATCACAAAATCAAGCTTGATGGTTTTTGGCAGACAATCACGTACGCATCAGTACAATTAATACCTCTTTAATAATATAATATTAACAATTTCAAATGGCTATGCAACAATATACAATTTGCAGATTCGATGAGGCGATTCTAGTCAAAAATTAACATTTATATTTCGCTGCCTGTTCAGGATAATGGCTTTAGCAACTTCACCACCGCAAATCAAATCTCAAGTCCGGGAAACGTTGATTTTATCTTACCGGCTAATAAACGACCAAGGCGCACTTAAACTCCACGTTCGACCCTGTTGATATATTACGACAGGAAAAAAATCGATTTTCGGCTGTACACAGGTAAGCCTCATATGAACGGTTTTCCCACAGCTGTACCAAATAAATTTGAAAGATCATCACGTTTCAAAAACGTATTTAATTACTGTAAGATTCTTATATTATTATTAGTATTTTATACTTCATATGACGTTTTACGTTTTGAGTTCTACTTTAACAAAAATATTATTTTGTTAAACTGGCTGTTGAATAATTAAAATCAATATTAGAAGTTATGATTTAATTTGTTTAATTATTATTTATAACATACTTACATACATAATTTTCATTTATTATTCAAGCATTTAAATATTTAATAAATAATATATAAGAAAAAATTATAAAAACAAAGCTAATTTTCAACATAGTTCAACTCCAATTTATTTGAATGATTTTATTAATTGGATAAAAAAATTAGAATTTTGTAAAAACTTCTAAAAGAGTTGTATTCACTCTGAAATACCATTAAAAAAGTACTTGGAAAATTTATTATTCAATTTCATGATTACTATATTTCTAAATTTTTTCACAATTTAAAATAATATAATCCATATCAAATCGTCAATAGAAAAAAATCACAAGATTCCTTGTTTTACTGAGTTTAAATACAATATAGTGTTAATATTGAAGTTAAGGTTCCACTAAAATAATTTATATTCCAACGGATAGCCTTAAAATTTGGAAAATTTGGTACACAGAAAGCATTATTACTATTTAGTTTTATTTAAACTGAAGAAATAAAAAAACACAAAAGTAACATTTACTTTTTTATGTTCCATTTATTTATTTTTTACTATAATATAAAATTAAAAGTACAATACAGAAAACCATAAACAAAAATATTTATGTAGATCATTTATATGATCTAGTCAATTTAATGATTGTTTCTGTTAAAAATAATTAAAATAATACAAGAACAATTTTCTTACAATATAAAAATTAGTTTTCTTAGGTACATAAATAATATTTTTGAGACTGTTATGTAAGCTTAATCTGACTCACTTTCAGCAGAATTATAATCACCAACATCGATATTCATTTTATATTCCTGATCACAACCCATGTAAGCATCACTCATAAAGTACAACGTATAAGAGTAATTTCCTAAAATAGAATTGAATAAAATTAGAAATTATTTTAAAAATATTGATTAAATTAATCAACCACTAACCAGGATTGGGTGCTACAAAATCTAATTTCACTTTAGCCTTTTGCTGTAAAGTCAATCTCTTAATAGAAAGTAATGAATTATTTTTTGGATCTCCAATTACTAACCACCAACCTTCTTCTCGTTTCTAAAATAATAAAATGTAAGTACATTGTATTTTTTTGATGAAATCCATAATTCATGACACTTACTTGTGGAAAAAAGGGAGCAATAACTGGTCCAACAACTTCATCTTCTCTTTCTAAACTTACTGTGACATTTACACTCGAACCAGCAGATATACGGTTTTTGTTTGCCACTTCATAACTTAATTCAATATTAGGATAACGATTACAGAATCTTGCAACATCAGCCATTTCACTATCGTCTAGCTGCAGCAACTTGGTACGATCTTCATCTTCCAATTCCATGATATCAAATACAGTTTCAATACCCTAATAAACAATAAGTTTATGTTACCGTTCTACAATATTCTATTATATCCCAATCTATTGAAGTATTAAAGAGTATTATAATACTAAATAAATACAACTTACTGCATCAGTACATCTCTTTATAATGTCTGATGTAAAGTGAGGAAGTTGTTTGAGATAAGAATCTTTAGCCCACATTGCTTGAGTAATCATTTGAGCTAGTTCCATAGCAGCCACAGCTGGTGATAACCAACCATTAGAACTCAAGACATCAACACATGCTTGTATTAAACGTATTGCCTAATAAAAAAGTACCCAAAATGTATTCATTTTATTATTAGTAACATTATATATTTATTACTCTAGCTAATATGACTTCAGTATCTCCTTGTAGTTCTGCACCAAGTTGTAAACGAGATAAATGGGCTTGAAGTAATAAATTAACTTTGACATGTGGATCATTATACCTTATTGATGATTGACCAGAAGCTGGTTGTAATTTGTTTGGTAAACGATGAGCAAGACTCTTAAGAAGAGTATCTTCACGATGTCTAACTGGTATCTTTTCATATTCAGCAGCTGAACTTATAATTTCTAACAGTCCGCGAATCTTTGTTTTATTATTGAGTGATAACGAAAATAATTCTAAAAATATAATTAAGAAATGTATTATTAATTTAAATAAAATGCAAATTAAGATCAATTAATTTAATATTACCAATAGTTGTATAATTGATATAGTAATAAGCAGCAATCATGCCCAAATTCAATGGAATACAGTCAATCTCGTCTTCAATACTTATACACTAAAAAAATAATCATACTTAATTATGTTTTAAAGATAGTAACAGAGTATAATGGTAAGATACAATTTAATTTATTGCTAAAATCTATTGAATAATTTAAATAGGTTAAATACATAAAACACCTGAAAAAACATACCTTTGATTGGTTCAAATCATTTAATGTAGTTTCAACAAGTTCTGACAAGTAATCTGATAAATGCCTATGAGATATACCTTGTAAATTATAATAATTAGCATTCTGTGTAAGTCGCCTATATAGGAATGTCCAAGTCATGTAATCAACAGCATCCTGTTTATTCTCAATAGTTTTAGTAACAATCTCAGCATTGAAGTGATCATGTAATCGATGATCTAAATGACTCTAGGAAAAAAAAAACAAAATTAATTTACTAAAGTGCATTATATATTTCAATTACATACTTCTACTGGCAATGGCTCATTTAAGAACTTTTTAAAGAAATCTTTTTTAGATGATTGACACATTAATACACATTTTGAATCATCATCATCTAATGGTCGATTAGCTCGTCCTACCATTTGAATAACATCAGTAATGGGATAATCTTCATAACTAAATTAGAAATATATTTATAAAATACATAATATTTAAAAATTTTAACAGTGACGCTTACGCATGTGTTTTCCCATCATAGAACTGTGTATCCATAATAATAACTAAATGAGATGTAATACTTAAAGCCCAACAAAGACTTCTAGTCACAACTACAACTTGAATTGCTCCAGTGAAAAATAATTGTTGAACCCATCTTTGATCTTGGGCACTAACACCTTCATGTAAATATGCTACTCCTTGGAGCAATGTCTCTTTCAATGTCTAAAATATAATCAGACCAAACAATTTTAAAATAATTTATCTAATACAAAATAAAAAGAAAAAAGAAAAATTGTTAAACAGTTATTAATAAATTATGAAATTAATAATATACAAATTAATATTCTATTAAATTTAATAACAATTTTTAAGAATGAATTCATAAATATATATAAATGTTTTGTAATTATTTACTCTACAAAGTAAATCATTCATTAGACAATTTCAGAAGGGAAATTTTGATTGTTCAATTCTTAAGAGTATAACGTGTAACTGTTTATTTTTATAAAAATAAATTAATCTGGATAAAATTATACAATATTACCTTATCGGAAATTTTCTCCAAAAATGGCTTAATGTCATCTTCTTCAGCGTGTATAAAACGATTAGGCTGGTTGTCAGCAGCAGTGTAAGTTAATAGGTCAATAGCAGTAAGACGGGCTTGTTTCCTTGATGGTACAAATATAATTACCGGTTTCTCCAAACTATATTTTAATATAGCATTGTAAGTTGGTTTGCCCATTGCCACTAATCTGGTAGCATTATGAGTGACATTATACCCCTAAACAATTTCAACAATCAACAGATGCTCTTATCAAATATACTAATTTATAATAATTATAAATAAAGATGATTAATCTCAAATTCAGCAGCTAAAATAGAAATTTTAATTTAAAAACTTAACATGAAATAATATCTTTATAAATCGTACTTAGTACATCCTTATATTTTAATTTAAAAAAATAAAATAAATTATTTTTAAGCATACCATTAAAAATATGTGGCCTCAAATAAATCTTAAATACTTATTATAACTTTTAAATATAATAATTTAATCTGAGAATTACAGTAATTATACTTTATTGTTATATAATATTATTATATACACTTCAATACAGATAAAATAAAATATTTCACTACAAATGTTCTCATAATTAACTTTATTTATATTTAATAGTAATTATTACTTGCACATGAAGTTCTAATGGTACAGGTCTAACACTTGGATGGAAATTAAATGTAGTTGTAGCTGGTGCCCCTAACCATAGAGCTAAATCTCTGGCATCAGCAAGTGGAGCTGAGAGGGCAACAACACGCATTTGTTTTTCAGTTTGTGAAGCAATATACCGCATTCTGGAGCAAACTATTTCTAAAACTGGTCCATCTTCACCTCCAATCAACTAAAAACATATAAGCCAATCACTATTAAATAAACAAAATAATAAATATCTAAATAATAGAAAAATAATATAATAATAACACCTTATTATTTTTATTTATTGCCTAATATTAATAATAAATTTAAAATTTACTTGAAGTTCATCCACGATAAAAAGATTAATATTTTGCACATTTTTCCTTTGCTTCCATCGCCGAGATAATACATCCCACTTCTCTGCAGTTGTCACTATAATTTGTCCTTTAGCTAACAACTATAAACAATATTGGGTTAACCAAATTTTAATGGAAAAAATACCCATACAATATGTAATATATTTCATTAATTCAAAGAAATTGATCTACCTTTAAATCTGTTCCAATTTCACCTGTCAAAAGTACTACTTTTCTAGCGAGTCCAATTCCAAATATCACATGCCAGCTGGAGTAAATTAATTCTGCTTGCGATTCTTTAGCGACCAAATAAACACAACGATGATCAGGATTCTGACTCAAAAGACGATAGAGTGCAAACTCAGCAATAGCAGTTTTTCCAGATCCAGTTGGAGCTCCAATAAATACATTTTCATCGCTATTATATACAGCATTAAATACTTGAGTCTGAATGGGATTGAATTGATGAAATCTCTCAGCATAAAGTTCTTCAAACACTTTATTACGAAGTGCTGATACCTAAGGTATAATATGATTAAAATATTATTAGTAATACATTATGGATAAAAAAATTATAAAATTTACAGGAAGTGGCTGCAAATCTAAAAGTTCAGTAGGTGGTACATTTTTTTCTGGCAATAGCAAATGTCTAAATGAAACAGGTAATTGTGTTTCTGAACCAATCCAACGATCAGAAACAATTCTGTAACAATTAAAAGTATATTTAGAATAAACATTAATTAAGATTACATAATTATAAAAGTAATAAAACTTTAAAATTCAATTAAAACTAATAAATAAATTACAGTATAAATGTAACTTAAACAAGACTAATTAAAACTTAAAGAACTAATTACAGGTTTATAAACTTTACCTGAGGAAATATTGAGGAGGTAAAGGTTCAAAAACAGGTACAAAAAATTTAAGCAAATGCTCATCAGTAGCATATTTAGCTTTCAATAAAAAGAATTCGTGATGAAGAATAACTTCAGAATCAACATCTTCAACCAACACCCAAAATGCTTCAGAATTTCCATGCAATTTTTCATCCCACTGAAAGTCTGGAGTAATTGTCAATTCAACTCTTAGTGTAGATCTAAAATACAAAAATGAATAAAAATAACTAACTAAACTTAACTATAAAGATTAATATTAACCTAGTGACTGGCTGAATGTGTGTAGATAATTCCAACTTAGGGAATTGATGAACATATCTGTGAATAGTTTTTCCAAGTTTAGGAACACGAATTAATTCACCAATTTCACTAGGCCCAAGATCATATAATCTTTCCCATGGGAAATTTTTTTTCTCAATTTTTCGAACAATTTCTTCAGGCATCTTTCTAAATTGTCTCAATGGTGACATACTTTGCCACATTCGCCTATCAATCATTTTGCAAAGACTAAGAGCTTTATCAGCTAACTGTGCCCAACCACGGTGCAATACAATTTCAAAAATAGCACGCATTAAACGAGCAGCTGATTGGGTTACAAATACCATATCCGACATCAATGCAAATCCTTCAAGTTTCAACTGGGATATGTATGCTTGAAGAAGTATATTTATCTATAAAAGGAATTAATAATTGTTTTATTTAATAACAGAAATATCAATAAATTAATCAAAACTGAGATAAACATTTGTATGAGACAAAAATATTATTACTTTTGCACTAGGTTCTTCTATGCCTTCTTTTATAGGAATAGGTACACGTTCCATTAATTTTTGAAGCTCTAATTTTTCTTCATCTCTTACTCCTATGTGACGAAATTCTCCAGATAATGAAAATACTCTAAATAGCTCAATTTCACTTAAAGTTGGTTTTAATAACTGATTATATGTAGCCATTGTGTCGTGAGTACAATAGTAATGACTAGCAATACGACCAAGTTCAGTCACCTGTAAAAATAGTTAATTATAAAAATATTTATTGGCTGTGTTATAGACACTTAGATACATAATGAGAAAAATTGTACAATACCTGAAAATAACCAGATTTTCGATCATATTTAATAAGATTGCTTCTCTCTAATTGTATAGCAGCAGTATGAACAATATCTGCTCTATGTACTTCCAATAACGGATCAACTTCTAATTTTTCCTGAGTAATAGTGTATAATGCAGGAGAGCGTAACATACGAATATACAAATAAGTATAACCTAACCAAGTCACAGCTTCTTTAACACTTTGTATTGTACCTAACAAGTATAAACAATATGTCATAAATATTTATTTTACATCAGAAATGTATAATATACTTACCAAGTACAATTTCTGCATTTAACATATCTGGAAGCTTGGAAACCATTTGGGATTCAATTGGAAGCTGTTGATTTAATAAAGATAGATAATATTGCAGTTCACTATGATTTGTAATAAGGATACCTTCACCTTTAGTATCATACTGAGGACGTCCAGCACGACCCAACATCTAAAGGTAGAAATTATTGTAAGAAAAATTTTTCTTTGAAAATTAAAATTAATTACCTGTAAAACATCTAATGCACCGAGTTCCACCCAACGTCCTTTTTCTGGACTATAAACTTGAGTACCTTTAATGATGACAGTATGAGCTGGTAAATTTACACCCCAAGCTAAAGTAGCTGTTGAGACTAATACTTGAATATGACGATCAGCAAATAAATCTTCAACCAATGTTCTGTCTACACGAGTCATACCAGCATGATGTATAGCAAAACCATAAGGAAGTAAATCCCTAAGTTCTTGATTCTAAGATAAATAAATTATTATTATAAAATTATAAACTATAATACATTCATATTTACTTTGACTTGTTCAGCTTCAGTACGTAAAACTTCCATAGATGCAGAACCTTCACGTAAGAAATGTCCTAAAGTATCTTTTTCCAAACACATATCCCTGATAGCTCTAGCAGTTTTTCCTAGAGTAAAATTAAGTAATAAAATATACTGTCATTTCATAAAAATCAAAGAATTACCTGTTTCTTTTCTGGAATGAACAAACACTAAAATTTGATTACGGCCAGCATGTTCCATAATTTTTTCATACACAATTTCATTCATAACTTGGAAACGTTTAACAGCTTTTTTCTCAGTTATACCTATATACTGTTGCTCTAATGGAACTGGTCTGAATGAGTTGTCAAAATAGAATAAACCCTAAATATATATATATATATATATATATAAATTATAAATAGATAATATATTTTTTTTTAATGTTCAAATAAACTTACGGAATCAGGCTTAACCCTAAGAAGAGTTGCAACATCTTGATAGTTTGGCAATGTAGCACTAAGCCCAACTAAACGAACCTCCTCTTGTATTGTTTCTATGTTTCTAATTGTTCTGGCAACTAGAGCCTCAAGAACAGGTCCACGTTCATCATGTAATAAATGTACTTCATCCTAAGATAAAATTATTAATATTAATTATACATTGTATATTATATAAATTTAAAAATAATGTTTGTAAATTAATAAAACTAACAATAATGATGAGTCTGACAAGGGACACAAATGTCTTTTCACCACCTTTCCTAGTTATAATATCCCATTTTTCTGGTGTGCAAACAATAACTTGTGTAGCTTGTATCTGTTCACGTGTTAGCTGATGATCACCAGTTAATTCAGATACGGTTAGATTATAACTACTTAACCTCTGCAAATATATGTAAATAGTTAAAAATATTTTACAGGAAAATTATAACTATAATAATTTTTACCTTTCCAAAACTTCCAACCATTTCTTGTACAAGTGATCTCATGGGGGCTATATAAATGATTTTAAATTCATCTGCATTTATAGTACCATCACTATTAATATGCTTTCCAATTTCTCTCAACATACACAATAAGGCAACATTTGTTTTACCAGCACCCTACAAAATATGTATTTTTAATTTAACCTAATGATTTACCTTGAAAATATAGTAAAAATATATTACTGTAGGAGCACAAAGCAATAAATTTTCATCAGATTCCAGACAACTTTTTTGAAGCCTTGATTGTATTCTATTTAAAGTTTTGAAATCTTCAAAAGCAGGTTGAACATATTTTGGTAACTTGTCAATAGGAACCAATGATTCCTCTTCACTGTACGGTTTTGGTTTTAACGCAGGTACATGAACTTCTTCATAACCTTCAAAAGTATATAAAATATACATTAATAACTTACTAATTTTAAAACTTTAATAAAAGACATACCTTTACGTTGTTTTCTAAAGGATCCATCAGGAAGCTGACATCTCTTATTTGACATAAAATGAGATCCTTGGGAAAATATTAAATCATCCAAATCTAAAACTTTTCTAGTGCCAGCAACCTGTTGTTTAGGATCACCAGTATTCATATCATCATCATCTTCATCAGCAGCTCGTCTCTTTTTATTGGCAGCACTTGCACTACTATCTTTAATATCATCAATTTCTTTAGTATCCATTTGTCGTAAGATCTTGGATAGAAATGGGTCAGAATCCATTTTTTTACGTAAAGCAGCACGTTCAGATTCACTTTGAGATGATGCCAATAATGTACAATATAAAACTAAAAATTTTAATCAGAATTTATTAAACACATTGTGTATTATTTTTAAATTTACTTACTCATAAGTCGATTTTTTTTTAGTACTTTTATAAAATCAAAACAATCATAACCAAGTAAAAGAACTAATTGATTTTCACAATCACGGTCATCACCAGCATTTTTTAATACAGCTAAAACTTCAGCTGCTTTAGCTTGTGATGCCATAGCATCACTATAATACTTCGATAAACTTCTTTGAAGCCAATAAGCATCAATATCTAAAGCGTGCAAACTTTTTTCTTTTTTGGCTTGTTCAACAGGTTTTTTAACAGCACGTTTGTCCAGCTACAAATAATTCCTTATTTAAATAAATCATTAAAAAGAATAAAGTAACTTACATTTTCTGCATGAATAGTAGCATCTAATTTTGATTCTTCACCTTCATCTTCATGATCATCACCTTCTCGGATTTCACCATATACATCTTCATCATCTTCTTCTTCACTCTCTTCAAACTGGACATTTATACCGTATGTTTCATCAATATTATCTTCTAAATAAAAAAAAACCAACAAAAATAAAACTAACTTCATACAACATACTTATTTAAAATTAAAAAATTTAATTTACCAGTATTTGCCGTTCCTTTTTCATCAGTTCCAAAATCAGTTATTTTTTTCCCTAAATTAACCAAAAGTGCAAATCGTTCATCAGCTAATGAGCCTAATAAACTTTCAGTATCAGATTTTTTTTCTTTATCTTTAAGGCGGTCATTTTTTAATACAGATAAAACTTCATCAGCTGCACCACAAAGAATATCTCTAGGCTAAAATAACACAATCTATTAATCTTCTAAAAGTATATTATTAAATAAATTTCAAAATATTCTAACCTGATCACCAAGTGCTTCCTGTATGAAACTTAACAACACTTCATATGTTTGTCTGGTCTCTTGAGTTTTAGGCCTGTACATAATTCCGACCATATCATCAACACCATCTGATAAAAGAGTAGTTCCTTTCATTCGAGCAAAGTCATATTGTGCTTCATCACGTTTTTGTCTTCTACATATTACAAAAAAAAACCAATTATAAATTATTTAATAATTAAATAATTTATGCTTTGCTACTTACTTGGCTTTTCTTTCTTCTGCTTTCACTGGTTTAGTTCTTTGAAAACGGTCTCCCATCTTCGTACCTTCCAATTTTCCCACCAACGAACATACTTCTCCAGTAGCTTCATCGCGGTTACGTCGATCAATAAGTCGCACATCAGCTTGTAGAACAAGATTGGAATTCTAAAAATAATCATATGAAATGTAAGCTTGTAAATAATAATATACCATTGTAGAGAGTTCAAATTCAATACTGGCGTGTTTTACTTACTGCTTTATATTCATATTGAAGCTGACGAGCAGCTGCGTCAGCCATGATGAACTATTATTTTTCTGTAATTACTCGGATTTTTAACTTGTTCTTAGAAGTCAAACACAAAATTCATTATTACGCATTACATAAAATAAAAAAACGTTTTACAACGTTCAAGTTCAAACGAACAAAATTATTAAATAATATATGCAAGTCGGATAGAGAGAAACGAAATCCTCGTGATTTGTTTATGCCGCTTATCAATATTCAATGAAGCCAACCGTGGTTGTTTCTTTTTGCGACATCTACGCTGGTCACCCTGTTAATGGGCGGTATTTTAAATTTTGACAATACTGTTTCGACAGCATTGTAATAATTACAATAATTATTAGTGTATGTATTACAAGAATTCACTACATTGCTTAATAACACGTGGGCCTCATTTAAGATACATAATATTTGTTTTTTAAGATTAAAATTGTATGTATCTCGGCTTCGTTGCAAATTACGGTATGTATTTATCGACGTCCATGGCCAGATTCATTGAACGGTTAACCTGATCAACGACCCTCAACTAATGAAGTAACTTGTGGCGTTTTTTTTATTATATGATATTGATTTATTTTTTCTTTCCGATAAGCTAATGACATGTTTATTGCATGGAAAACGAACACCATTAAACCTTATTAAATGTTTCAATATTATTTATTTATTTTTTTTTTGATTATGTCTCCAAAGTAGTCAGGAATCTTGCACAATCTGGCTGAACTGTAGAACATTAATTTGTTTTCAATCATTCGTTTTAAATTTCATAATCTGAAACAGAATCATTTTCTGTAGGTCAATGCTGTAAGACTAACATCCAACCAATAGGAAATGTTAACAAATATTTTTTGTTATATGATATTGCAAACTGAAATGTCATTGGGCAACTCGAAAATTATTTGTGCCCATCAGTGGCGTAGTTACCGAAGGGGTAGAGCTAAGTGGTTTCCCCTAAATTTTCCTTTTAATAATATTTAATTATTATTTATTAATATTTACATATTATAGTATGATATTTTCATTTTACTATGATTAGGTATATATTAAAATGAGTAACAAAATAATTTTCATTAAATACGGGACAATAATACCATTTTAAATATATTATTATATAGGACCTCGTATTAAGATATAGGTACTAAGAATATAATAAATTGACTCTTAAAGAAACCATCCCCCCACCCCAGAAAAAATTGTATATACACCTCTAGTACCTATCCACTCATCTTAATTTATAATATACAAAAACTATTCTGTGCAACAACAGAAATGGTGAAAATAATAGTCTAATCTTAAATGTGATTGTGTTATCATAATCATACAGGTTATTTTTGGTTTAAATAATTTCCTGAATTAAAACAATAAAATTATATAACTCATTTAGCATAATATTTTATGTACGAATAAATTTGAAGTATTTAAGTGAACAGTTAAAAATTGTCTTCCTGCATTATAAATTTGATTAAATTACTTATTATCCAAGGATAAAGGGTTCATATTAAACAAACAATAATTTAATCACATTTTTGTTTCATATTTAAATTAGAAAATTAAGTTACAAATAATAAAAAATCACACTGAATTATAAAAAATTAAACTGTTACAAAACAACTCATCAAAAGCACCAAAAAATTAAGTTACAGTAAATACTTGAAAAGGAAGACGCAATATAACAAATATACGTAAATAGCATTCATATTTTACACAATATGTTATTATTTGTTAAATAAAAAAATAATTGAATATTTTTTTTTTAGTCTTAACTATTTATACATCAGAAAAAGCTTATTTTTTAAAAAAAAATTAACAAAGTTATAAAATATTTCACTTTTCTGTCATATTTGGATTAAAAATAATTTTTAATACGATGCTCATTGTATATTAATAAATATTATATTTTAGGACATTTAGTTAAAAATAGAAACTTTTCAAATAAATTCAGTATTGATTATAACATAAGGACAATGTATGAAAATGCAATAAAACCAAGTTATAACTACATTCTACAGTTGTATAAATCAAATTACAAAAACTTGTAATTTAATTTTTAAAATATGAAAAAATAACACATAATCAAAAATACACTATGTAAAATAATCTATAAGATAAAATAATACATAATTATTTATTTAAATTAAATTTAGAATTCAGAAATATAAAAAATGTGGTTTATATAAACTAAATATTTAAATGAAAACATAATCAAAACAATGTCATCATATTTAAATTATAGACTACTGATATGCTAATATACTATGGAAATAAAAAAATATTTTTAAACCACCATAAGCAATCTGATCTAAGCTTACAATATCATTTTAAAAATAAAATAATATTAAGAGCATAAAATTATTTATTTATATGAACTGAAAAATGTTTATTAAACAAATAATAAATATTTAATCAAAAAATGGCACTATTGGATTTATGGATTTATTTTATTTTTAATACAAATTTGAGATCAATTGTTCAATTAAAGGCGGTATTAAATGATTTCTACAAAAAAATATATATATATATGAATAATATAATTTTAATAATTAATACAAAACTAATGTAAAGTACTGAGAATACTGTAAATTGTATAACCCTTATTTCAATGAGATTTTTCTTTTCAAACCCATTTGATAAAACTTTAACATATAAGTATAATTTTGAATCATTATAACAATGTGAAATTTAAGGTTTTGATCTAATGCTATCTACAAAAATATAAGACCAATTTTCAAAGTTCTTTTTTATGTTTATACAAAACATAAAAAGTAGGAACTTAAATCAATGTCTCAAGCATCAATGTAATGAATAAAATATCTAAAGATAAATTATTTTCCTCTATAATATAGTTCATATATTAAGTTACTTTAAATTTAACTATTAAAAATGTATTTCCATGCTATGATGTATTTTTTAAAGAAAAAAATCATGTTATTACTAAAGTAAATTTATTTCCTCTTCAGTTATTACATCAAAATCACTTAATGTACTTGATGATAAAGATATAACATCCATTTCTTGTTCTTTTGCTTCTTCACCTAGTTCAACTTTCATATTAAAATTACATAATTCCTCATTTTCAGTAAGATCTATAAAAACAATATAATTCATAATTAGAAATTCCATTTTTAAATTACTCAAGACTTACTTTCATTTATTGCCTCAGAAAACTCTGAGAAAGTATTATCAAGTTTAAACTCGTTTGTAATACTAATATCTTCATATACTGTTTTCAAATCAGGTATATCATCTGAATAAAATAAAAGTTCCAATCAAAAATTCCAATTTTTATTTCAATAATAAATGATTATATTACCAGGCTCAATGAAGTCATCTAAAAACTCAGATTTGGAAGTTGAAACTTTTGTAATTTCATTATTTTCATAAATACTCGGTTTGACTTTCAACAAAGTCATGTCAATCCAAAGTAAAATAAGAATATAAGCTGTGAATGTTTTTTTAAATAGTAATAATATTTATCATTATAGATAAATTAAACAAAATTAAAATTAAAACCTACCCACTACAAGTGTAAAGGTCATCATAGATACATATGAAGTCAATCGTTCAAGACGGTCAGAGGGTAATTCAAATATATGTCCATTTATAAAACATATGGTAGGGACTGCAGCCCATGATGAAACCCAAATACAAAACAAAATCTAAACAAAATACATTTAATTATTTAACTTAAAATAGAATAATTATAAAAACCTTACCAATTCATCAGTGCTTTTAGTTAAATTTTGACGTCCAAAAATTTGTGATGAATATGTTTTTACTCTATAAAATTAATAAAAAAACATTTTAACAAATAACATAAGTCAATATATATGATATATAACATATAAAAATATTAACTTACATATCATGTAGAGGTGTCCAATTAAAACTCTCATCCCAAAATTCAAACACAATAAAAAATAGTATTTGAATAATATTACAATAAACAAAAGGTCCAGCAAAGCCATGGGATCTAAAGAATAAAAGCACTCTATTAATAATTATTAATTATAACTAATTAAGAACAAAAAAAAAATTTAAAAAAATATAGTAGGTATGTACATTTGGGAACTCTAAAATGTGTTTTATTACTGAGGTTTTAATTAGTAACTTGTACAATTTTAGATTCTAGATTTAATGAAAACTATAGATTAATGTTTGTGACTAAACTTTGCTAATTTTTAAAATAAAATTCTACCAAAACGAATAGTTTAACTAAAACATTGATTCCAATTATAATTAGTATTGGTTAAAGTAAATTTCACCAGCTAAAAACAAACTATATTCAAGTTTACAGAGTATAGTTCAATAAAAAGGTTATTGCATATTTGCTTCATTAGCATAACTCGACTAAAACTAAAAACAAAAATAAATGAACAGAGAACTTAACAATTACAAATGAATGGTGAATTTATCTCAACAAAATAATAATTTAAACTTATTTAACTAATTTATAATTATTATTATTTATTTACTTATTTTTAGAATATTAATTAATAAAATATGATGAGTTTTCTATAAGCCCCGGGATGCATTTATATAACAAAATTGAAAGTTAAAATATTATCAGAAATTATAATGGTTCTTTTAATAAATATTTATTTTATACACTTCACAAGCAAATTAATGACAATATGCACTGCAGATTTAATTTCAAATAAATATAATATAGGTTAATTCATGTCAATATTTTTAATGTTTTATTTCACTTATAAATAAAAAAAAGTAATAACTATAATATAAAACTGGAAAAGTTATCAACGATGTTTTCTTATTAGTTCCAATAGAAACAACATGCCATTTATCATCATATTTTAATAATCTAACAATATTTACATAGTTTTAAATAAGCATCACATTGTAAACTATAGATTAATAGTTAATTCAGTAAATCATTGAAAACCTTTAAAAAGAGAACTATTAATTTTACTGTATTAATGAATTTGTTAATACTAATCAAAAATCAGAAAATAATTAAAGTTCAATATAAGAATATGTAATTTGTTTTATATAATTTGTTAAATTAAGGTTTAAATACATATAAATTCCAATGATCATAATAATAATAATAATAATTTAAAAAAATAAAACATTTCTCACTAAAAAAAAAGTAATGATAAAAACCATTAATAATTCAAACCAAATTATTAAATAATAAATTAAGCGGATACTAACATTATATGTATTTAACAATGTTAAATGTTACTTTTTTTTTTCAAAGAATACAATTGTGAAGTGATAACTTTTTGTTTAGGAAAATAGTGACAATATTAGTGCCAATAGGTGACCTTTGGCCTTGGGACAATTATTCAGTTAAGCCCCACTTGCCAACTTGCATCCAATATTTCCTTTTGTTGGGAAACGCCCCACGGAATAGGTCAACAATTTCTAAGTTGTTTTTTTGTTTGTTATCAAAATTAAACTATTCTAAACATTAAGAAAAAAATACGATGACAGATAAAATACAATGGACTTACAAGAGCACAAGTTATTAAGGAATTTGTTTATTTTAAGAAAAATAATAAAAACCCATTAATAATACTATAACATGTGTATTTAATAAGTTATTATTTCTTGAAAAAAAATCCGTATAAATGTTTAATAATTTAAAAGAAAAAATAGCTACAAAAAATTTATTTTGTTTACAATTAAAAAGAATTATGGCTTTTATAGATAGTGAAATAATTTCACTCAGGCAATTAAACAATTAAAAAAATATATAAAATTGTAAACATTAAAATACGAGTACAATTGTTATTTTAGATTTAATAAGTCTAAGTAAATCATTTTACTTTTGTCTTGTGCAATATATGGTGTAAAACAAAGACATGAAATCTTGAAAAATTAGTCCACAGCAATATTAAGTGGTTTTAATGGGACTCAAATACTTTTTTCAGTTCCTGTACAAATTTTGGAACCAACCCAAATAGCACTTTTTTGTTTCAGATAAAAATAAAAAAAACAAAAAAAAATCGGTAAGCACAGTGCCAGATTTCCCATTAGCCGGAGTAGGTGCCTGCCTTAGGGCCTCACTCATTTAAGGGGCCCTGTGAAAACAGAAAACTATATTTTTTTTTTATTTAAGAATTTACGGGACAAGTCATTATGAAATATAATATATATATTAAGTCGTAGGCGTTATAGGCAGTAATAATAATACAAATATTTTGAAAAAAATAGAAATATTATAATTTATTGATTTTTCTTGCAAATAAGAAAATTCAATAAACACGATTTTGTTTATAAATAATAGTTGGTTGTTATTAAAGGTGTTTATTTTAATTATTGAATGATAATGTTAAAAATGTATGTAAAAAATTATTTTGTAGGGCCCAACATTTTAATTGCCAAGAGGCCCACAAATGTTTAATCCGGCACTGGGTAAGCAATAGATACATATTAACGCCACAGTGTTAGGTAAGCAGGTATCCATTGCTAAGAAAACCTATAAATAGATTCTGCAGATAGAATTTATTGCGTTGCACCGTGACTAGCACAATGTCACGATCGTGTGTCGTACACGAACAAGAGGAACGGGGAAAGCGAGAACGATGAAATAAACGTCCGATTCGACGGCGAGCGCAAACATTACGGAACGGTGACCCCCAAGCGGAATCATAATTGGATCGTATGGGGCAGCGAGTGCGCTACTCACTCGTAAACGAGTACGCTGGGGTAGATGTAGACAAAGAACCACGGGGCCAGCCAATACGTGCCCAGGTAGTTCTTGAGCTGCACGAACATGACGACGATGCGCTCGCAGGCGTGCAGGTCGTCGCCGTTGTGCGCGATCGGTGGGTAGCCGCCGTCCACCGGGGCCACAGGACACCGGGACCGCGGTTCAGCATCGCAATCCGGGTCCATCGCGGGACAGCGGTCCGCCGTCACGGCCATCGCTCAACGCCGGTGCTGTCTCATGGGACGACGGGACGCCAGGCGGCCGTTGTGATAGGGGTGATCGGATCAGACGGACGCGGGTAATGATGGTTGCAGATTAATGATGCGCCGAGTACAGTTATGGACGCGAATGACGAAACGACGACGTTTGACGCGTTTACGGACATGCACCGGACCCGAGCGAACGAGTGTGCACTGCGCGTGTGTGCGCTACACCATTGGGCCAACATGACGAGCCGCCCGTGGTCGTCGTCGCACGGTGCCTTGTTGTTGTTATTGGTAAACAGCTGTTCGGCACATAAACAAGTGCGCGGCCGAACGTGCGCGCGCTATTTGTTCGGTTAACGGTGTGTGCGAAAACAAAGACGATCGCCGCCGCCGTCTGTCACCGTGTTATGTCTGTTGTTGTTGTTGCTGCTGTTGTTGAAGTATTATTTCCGTCGAAGCAGTTACTGCCGGTTAACGACGACCGTCTCGCTCGTCCCAACGTCGTCATCGCGGCTGGTAGTTCTTTCTTTTTTGGTTTAAACAATGGACGATGCTCGCGCATAATGAGGGGGAACCGATTCCAAGTGAACTCTCGTCCTCGTCAGCGCCTCAACGGTTAAAAACTACTGCGTATCGTATTAACTATTCACTATTGGTCGACAGCAAAAAGCGTTTCATCACCCGCGATTCGGTGTTAATATGGCGCTGTTAAGGGGGGTGATGGCAGTAATTTAGGTTTTGGATTTAAACCACCCCCCTCCTCATTGAGAAAATCCCAATTAGCAAATAAATAGATAATAATAAAAATAACTATTACCTAAATAAATATATCAAACCTCGCCCTCCCCCATAAATAATTTTTGCCTATACCCTTGGCCATGCACTCCTAAATATTTTTTACCGTACGTGTACAGATGTCTGTACGTTATACGGTTAGATGTACGATTTACCAGGGGCATTTTCATTGGGGTTGGGGACAAATGGAATAGTTACTCCATGTCCTTTGTTTCTTTACATTTTTGTTACTTATTATACATATAGTACTAGGAAAATATATAAATTTGAATACATGTATAAGTTCACCACTCCCTTCTAAAAATGTGTAGGGGTGCCGATGTAATACACCCGCTTGAATAGTGCTCGGGCTCGTTGTGGATAGATACTCAAGATTTTTACGGATATGATTTATAAACGCAGGTCGTGGTTTGTAGAACAAATTTTTAATGAGGAACAAAAATGCAAATATGGTTCACTCCGTCCTACCAATAAAGTCGTGTTTGGCTCTGCAGGGGTCCTTGGACACACAGAGTTTACGCGCCTTTTTAGAAGCAAAAGTACGATTATTATTTCACATTACCACCAAATTATGACAAACATTTAGAATTCGAAACAATATTTTCAGACTTTCCTCTTTGTTCAAAAACGTATCAACGATATTATTTTATCACGGAAATATAGAAATAAATAATATTATAACCGTCTGTCACTATACGTCGATAATAGAGATCTGCACGGGCCATTTTTTTTTCGGCCCCATCCGGCCCGAAACTTAAACTAACAAAATACTCCCACCTAAGTCCGGTTCTTGATTTTTTTTTTAAGTCCAACCCGAACGGGCCCGTACGCAATATTTATTATCTGTTTTCATCAGTGTTATATTATTATAAATATAGCATACATTAATAATATAGACCAGAAGTTCTCAAAGTGTGAGTCGCAACCCAATAGTGGGTCGAGATTATATTTTTGGTGGGTCGCGCTATATTTTTAAATAATACATTATTTTCGTTGATTTTCAAAATTCAAATTCAGTTTTATCATTAATCTGTATCTTTAGCTGCGATTGTGACGATTATGAGTTTACAGCGATCGTGTTAAACCAACCCAACCAGATTAATAATTAATAAAAATATAACGATTTATACTAAAAAAAAAAAAAAGTCATTCATTAATATAGTGGATCGTCAAAATTTAAAAAATTCTCAAAGTGGATTGTACAATAATAATAATAATTGTGCCCTTGGATTAAATATGGAATTGCCTTCCATTTACTCGGTAAAATTATAATCTGAATTTATGTCTAAAAAATTAATATATTTTGTTACAAGAAGTAAAGAAAAAATTATTATTATGACTTTATAAGGTATAATAATCATTGTCTTTGACCAATACCATAACTGAACTACTCGAGACCTGTATGCAAATCAAAATCTTGAGGCCCCTTACTGTTATACATTTTTGAGCTTTTGACCTTTTTAAGGCCCCATAACATAGTATGAGGCCCGGGGCCAGAGTGCAATACACATTCTGCACGCTAGGTTTTTACAGCACTGCCTAAGAATCATGTTTCTAAAAACTCGATTCTATTTTAACTTTTGTTTACTTCATATTATTACAGATGGAATTTGCACACAAGCTGTAGGAATTTCATACATAAACCAATTATTTGTTTTCCTGTTCTATGGTATAATTATCTGTTTTAAATTTGGAAATTCAAATATGTTTACCCACGAAATAAGATGGCGTAGCACATTTTATGCGACAAACGATTTCTCTTTTAGAAATTTGTTACAATGTTGACATTGTTTTTTTTTTTTTTTTAATACACTACCCTTCTTAAATTATAGTTGTGTTTAATATTTTACACGTAGAACAAATGTTTTGTGAGAGAGCTTATAATCAAATTTCGTTAATGAATCAAAAATGGAATTAACCTCTTTGTTGCATTACTTCCACCGTACGGATATACTGTATAAATTTTATTGTAGTTTGATAAACTTTGTTATAAACATTAAATAATACTGATAATGTTTGGTTATTGGAATCAATATTTTATCTTTTAGATAAAATATATAGTATAATTGGGTGAACTTTGATGACTTTGGTCAACTGTCCAGACCTAGAGAGAGTATCCGCCTTGGCCGAGTTTGAACCGGAAGCGAATCACATATAACTACTTCCTTGTCTCACCCGGCCACTTTGTCCTCAATCATTTTATTTTAATGATAGAAATGACGAGAAGTTTAAAAGTCAACCACTTTTTTTATACATTTTATAAGCACTTCAAACTTCAGTTTTCGTTTTTGAATACATTTCGTAATATTTACATTTAATTATTATTATAATTTATAAACAATATTTAAACATATGATACTAATTTTCTGTATTCAATATAGCGATCACTTATTCACCTGACTTCTTACTCCAGACCTACACGTTTCATACTAATATTTTCTGTAAGGCGATTTTTTTATAATGGTGTAGACCTACACATATTATATACGTATACGTGTATACTACTCAAATACTACTTATAACAGTTCAAAATATTATAACTTTTATCTTTTTCTAATTCACAATAAAGAAACACAGTATTTTAACGTAGTTTAGGTAAAATTAATAACCTTTGTACTCTGTAGTTACACCGCAATAGGGGATATTATTGCAAAAAATTAAATTACATACAACTACGCATTAATATAATATGTATTTATCCATGTGTTAAAATATTATTTTTGTAATTTCGATATTATAACTCTTCACACACCTACATAATAATACGCATTTAATTTCGTTCAAAATAATACCTTTTGTTTTCTTAGAATTTTGTGTACTCATGTCCTATTCTAATACATATAATTTTAATCGATATCCGTATTTATAGAAAAATGAATTCGTTTATTGTATACAAATACTTGAACTAGATAATATTTATAAAATTACAACTATTTATACTATATATATTAATAAATAATAGCAAGGCACAAATAGTATTGTCGAGAATATTTATAATCGTGTAATTTCAATACAATTGGCTATTTCAGTTTCATATACGAAAAAACCCCGCCGTTTTTCAAACTCAATATTTTTATATCCTATATTATATTAATTATATATGCCTGTATATATCTATATACTATATAAATATACGTATAGTGTATATATCAACAATATGACTCCAATCCCCACGAATAACTCATTATTATCATTTATCATGCACTTAAAATTATGTTTACAATTTGGACGACTATAATAACTAAATTATTTGTCATTCTTCATACAAATTGTAAATGGATGAAAGAAATACTAACCAACTCTTTATTTTATACTTGGCACTGTTATATGGTAAAAAATATTCCTTGGACCACCACTAATCTCATAAGAAAATATAATCATTTATAAACATCACGTGCGACGTTGTTTTATGGTATTTTTATATTCGTCGGTCATTGCACATTACAGAAACACATATGCGATGTACACAAACGATTCTTAGTAGTGCACTAGATATAACTTGCACTGATACTTCACCACATTGGTTAAATAACTTTTCTTCTCAATTGATCTACTTATTGACAATATTTTTACTTTGTTTACATCTACCTATGATATCTATTAATTTTGATAATATATTGGATATTTATTATTAAAATACTAAACGCTTCAAGCTACACCATTTTTTGCCGTGTTTATAACTTTTAAAATTCTTCAACAATTCTAAAACAATAATTACCTATAGGTACCTAAAAGTAGTGGTCTCTATTTCACGTGTTTTTTTAGAAACGGTGCTAAAGTGCGTGTTATTAAAATACACGTGTATACGTGTATTTTGAGTTCGTGTACTCTTGTATTAAAAGTCCGTACATTATGATTAAAGACCGGATTTATATGTTTTTACATATCGTTACTGGGTCTATGCAGTTATAAGAGAGTAAAAATGTGGACGATTCGTTCAATTCAGAATTCGTAGACAAAAGTTTTTTTTGCATATTTGAGAATATTACATAGGTTAGAGAATATTTAGCCCATTTAGCATATTTTAGAATATTTGACTTTGGTGTCATCGTTGGAGATTGTATAAACTAATATCTGCAAACTAACCAATATACCTGGTGAAAAGGGTAACATAATAAACATAAATGTTTCAATTATGTCAAAAAAATAAAGGTTACCAAATGATAGTAAAATTTGGGAACATTTATGAGGAAAAAATGAATATCTCCAGAATATTTTACACCCAGTGTAGTTGCTGACATGAATTTTGCACCTCTAACATCTGTTGATGTTGAACGTTCATTTAGTTTCTATAAGCAAATTTTAAGTGATAGAAGAACTAACATGAATACAGAAAATATGGACAAATATATTATTGATAATTCATATAATACAATTTAAATAGTATTTCAAATTTCTTTTTTTATTCTTCAGAAAGTAAATATTTACCATTGTGTGCACCAAAGAATTATTGTTTTTTTTTGTTTTATACTTATACAGTGATCGCCGCTTAATGTAATCACTTTGGTAC